ATTGAATTGTAATGCAATTATGCACTTTTTAATAATTTCCACAGCTTTTATGAAAAAAAAGCTTTTTTTTTTTTGCAATTTTAATGGAAATATTAACTTTTTCACTAATTTTTTCCCATAAAATGTAAACAAACAATGCGTGCACAACGATAAGCAAACGACAGTGTCGTACTTATCCGTTTCTGCATCTTCTACAATTTGCCGATAACTAGCCGATAACGACAAGTGTGCCAATCTCCTTTGAAATGCATGTGCTCGGCTCAAAATTTCAGGGCGAGACGATAACGCAACTATGATTGGACGACAAGTGTGCAGATAGCCTTAACCGTGCCACCATAAATCACATTGGCGCATATTCATAGTCATATTTAGTACTCAACTAAGTCGAAACTATTCTAAATCACAACTAAAGCTATTCGACTAAAGCTTAGTTTCGACTTTTCTGGCACAGTACCAACTTAAAATTTAGTTTCGGCTGAAGCTGCAACTAGGTCGTAACTAGGAAGAAGTATTTTATCAAATTAAGGGAAAAGAAGAAATATGTAAAAAATTAAGTTGGTAGAGGGTGATTTTGATAATATTGAATAATCTCCAATTAAAATTTACAAAGATCGATCCATTTTAATCGGAAGATGAAATTAAATGCGTATTACAATTCGAATAAAGCTACATCACAATTTTATAATTGGAATAATTTAGATAAATTCTCAAATAATAAGTCAGTTTCACGCTAGTTCTTTTAAAGTAAATTTGTGCATAGCATTTAGATATCTACTATTTGTATGTTTCACAGCATGCTTTCGATATACATCGACTTCACATCACTGCGGTTGTTCTGGCTACTTCACACAATTAACAAGAAAATGATATCTTATTCTTTTGCATAATCATGCAATGAAAATAAAAATTACATAAACGGATGATCAAACTTGACATTATTTAATAAAAATGTAATTTTTCCAAAATATCGTAAAGAAAAATCGATACATTTTCACGCTCGTTTTGCTATATCGTAAACTAAGTCGAAACTACTTAGGGCCGGTTGTTCAATGTCTGATTAGCACAAATCGGAGGTAGAAGCTCCGGTTAAGCACAACTACTGCTTTATCGATCACATGTTACATGCATGATGTCGAAATCGTCGATAGTGTAGTGGTAGTGATAACCAGACATTGAACAACCGGCCCTTAGTAGAAATCTGAAATGCGACTATGAATAGAGGTAAATTTTAAGTTGATACTTAAATTTAAGTTGCAACTTTGTTAGTTTCGACTTAGTTGCTGGACTATGAATACGCGCCATTTTGAATGCGAGTTAAAGGGCCATTCACATACAACTTTCCTCGCTTTGCTTGACAGTTCAAACTTTGACAACAAAGCGCGAAACGCAGAAGGTATGCTCCAATAAACCCTTTGACAGCTTTTGCGTTCTCCTTTTCCTCCATATTTTTTATCTGTAAAATAGATAGCAATATAATAATATGTATTAATCATAGCAATAAAAGTTCCTATTTACTCTATTTTTGTCATTAAATGCAAATGCAAGTGCACAAGAAAAGATAAATGTAGACAGCTGATTGCCAAAGCGGGCAAAAGTTGAGAGTTGCCCAAGTTTTTGCTTCGTTCTGCTTTGCTTTGCTTCAACCGTTTTTTATGTGAGCATACTCATGCATATGCCTACATCGATCTTATATGTCAAAGCAAAGATCTATCAAGCAAAGCGAAGAAAGTTGTATGTGAATCGGCCTTAAGAGTTGTTGAACCGTGTTAAGAGTGCATATAAACACGGGATTTGGCCACACGGTTGTTTCGTGCAACGCTGTATGTAGTAAAACGTTTGATTAGTTCTTGAAATTACATTTAGGCTAGGCTTTGTTATAAAATTAATGGCTAATTTCCTTTTTACAAGGCTGTTTGAGTATTTAATTATTATTTTTCCATGTTTATTATTTTTAAGAATTGACACATGTATTAACATGTATTGCACTGGGATGAACTCTGTTTGAAAGCGTGTTCGATCCACTCATTTCTTTTCTTGACTGAAAAACAGAAAATACCTGCTCCAAAACAATTTTTAGACGCCAAATGAACTGAAATATCACGACCGAGTGTGCGAAAGTGTAGTCGTCATGCAATCGTTGCATCATGATTGTGACGATAAAGCAACTCTGATTGGACGACCAATGTGCAGAAAGCCTTAGTTCTCAACCCAACTTCAAGTTGAGCTTAATGCTGCGTTTTTGCTGCATTTAAAATGCAACATTTAGCACTTTCGAACATATGTTTTCGAAGAGCGTTCATGCTATCGCATTTAGCAAATGTACATTTACGCGAGTTCGAAATCGTATGCTTTTGACAAACAGCCGTGTTCCAGTCGCTTATTCAGATCCGTATCTATTACGATCAATTCTCACGCAAAAGATAATGTGCAAAAACCCTACTGAAAAGAAAAAAATAAATGTTAAACCAAAACTTCAATACAAAAATTTGAATTGTTTTAACCATGACCGACCATTTGTTTATGTATTTATTCATTTGTCGGTGCTGTCAATTAATATTTCCTCACTTAATTAGGAAACAAAACAAACAGAATTGATCACAAATTGATCCGGATTTCTATCAGCATCACATCGATATTGAATTTTCTTAACTTTTCTTTATCCAAATAATGTAAAATAATAAATGAAATGTCGATCGGCGATCACTGAAACGCAGCAAGCCACTGTATACTCGAAAATGCAATGTTGCTACTTTTTCTCATTAATCCATGTTCGAATCGTGGAAATGTTGGAAGGTCACATGGTTGCTTTTAGCATTTAGATTCTTAATGCAAAAATGGAGTTGCATTTAGTTGCATTTAGGTGACGAATTTTGTATGGATAAATGTACATTTAGGGCCGGTTACTCAATGTCTGGTTAACACTAATCTCCGTTTAAACATCATTATCGACGTGTTCGGCTCCATGCATATAACATGGAGTCTGTAACGTCGATAACGATGTTTTACCGGACATTAGTGTTAACCAGACATTGAGTAACCGGCCCTTAGAGTAGCATTTAGAGCTAAATGCGCTAAATGTGCTTTTACGCGTAAGCAAAAACAGCCCATAAAGGTAAGACCGCACTAAGCGACACGACACTGCAGCGGCACTACGCGATACGCCGCGACTCTTTTTGGTATATCGCACTGAAACTGAAGCGGCGCGACACTTCGCTGCAAATTTTATAATTTATTTGTGTCAAAAGCTTCAAACAAGATGGATGCTAGTGACGCTGATGTAATGATAATGCCTTTTATTTTTATTTTCCTTGGCGAATTCTTCTCAAATATTATGTTTCTTGAATGAAATGCATCTGAATATTCACTCACAATTGGAAATCCAATTACTTCAAGTTAAATATATAGTACGAAATGTTATGTCGTTCCGCTAGGTAAACCGCACTATGCGGCACCGGAACTGCGCGACACCACGCGGCGCAAAATTTTTGCCTAGTTGGTCAACTTTGCCGCGCAGCGTCGCGTCGCGTAGCTCCACTGCAGCGTAGTGCGGTATGCTCCATAAGAATACATGCAAAGAATATTTTGCCGCGCGGTGTAGTGTCGTGTCGCGTCGCCTAGTGCTGGCGTACCTTAAACCTAAATGTTTGTTGGATATACACACCTTACACCCGATTTACATGATTCAAGTACTTGAAAGCAATTCTTGCTCATTGTCTTTTGTGTTTTCTATTTGCTTTTACACGTTTCAATTCTGTTGAATTCAAGTTTTTGGTTCTTTAAATGGGAAGCAACGAAAATGCCAAAAGCAAAGCAAGAAAGTTGGGGAAAATTTTAGTAGACGGACGGCAAATTCTAGAAAAAGGGGGGGACGAGGGGGGGTAGAATAGGACCCCCTCATTTCAAAACTACCCCCTTTTTTTTCTAGCAACCCTATAGTTCTTATATAATTTATTGTTAAAGTTTTCATATAAACGATGAATAAGATAGCAAAATAACAGACAACTTAGTGCCACCAGACTGGAATTTTGAATAATAAAAACGGATTTTTAATTCGGAATTTTTACTTAGTAGAATTATTATTTCTGTGTTGCCGAAGAAGGGGGGGCTGAACACATTTTGCAGAGAACACCTTTCTGCGTAGGCGGCCTTCGGCCGCACTTAGGGATTATAACCCTCAGGCAGTAGAATTTCCTATTTCTGTTTTGCGAAGAAGGGGCTGAACACATTTTGCAGAGAACACCTTTCTGCGTAGGCGGCCTTCGGCCGCACTTAGGGATTATAACCCTCAGGCAGTAGAATTCTCCTTTCTGTTTTGCGAAGAAGAGGAGCTGAACACCTTTTGCAGAGAACACCTTTCTGCGTAGGCGGCCTTCGGCCGCACTTAGGGATTATAACCCTAAGGCAATAGAATTCTCCTTTCTGTTTTGCGAAGAAAAGGAGCTGAACATTTTCTTTTGTATTGATTTCCCCTGTATTCCTTTTTAATCATTGCCTTCTTTGTATGTATTGTTTTGTACAATATGGCAACACATGTTATGTGTCAGTTTGCAACCATGTGTTATTGTAAATATGCGTGAAATTCAATGTAATTTACAAGTCGGTAAAAGTTTAATTAAAGTGATTTAGNAAGTATGCACAAATGCCTTTTTGTTAAGGAAACCAAGTGGAACGACTTAAGAAATTTTAACAACAAATAACTTATAAACAATGATATTATTTATATTTTTTAGTTATACATGTTTTAGAGGATACCTCCCTTAACATCCTGACCAAGTTTCATTTGTTAATTCCACCTGGTTTTCTTAAAACACAAGGTGCGGCTGACTACTAAAGCCCACCCGAAATTTGAAACGACTTGACGGTACAGACGCATGTGTACTCGTCCCTTTTCTTCTCACACCCTCTCTACCAAGCGAGCGGAATTGAGTTCAATACTTGAACTGTGTAAAAGCAGTCTTATGAGTGAAAACTATCGATAGTACTTTCAAAACCATCAATTGTTTCGATAGTAAAAACCATCGATACTATCGATAGTGCCTTCGATAGTTTTCAAACTCTAGAAGATTCTTTATAGGAAAATAATTGTAAAAAAAATGGGAGTCACAGGTCTGTGGAAACTGGTTGAACCTTGTGGTAATCCTGTTCCTGTAGAGACTTTAGAAGGCAAAATTTTAGCTGTGGGTATGTTAATAGTATTCACAAGATATAAAATTGTATCATCGGACATGTTTTGCAATTCACTTCCGAGTGAATTTCAGTCAAATGCGCTTTTAATCGAATTGGCCGGAGTAGAAATTCACAGGGCAGTACATTGCAGAACATGCCTGAATAACTTCTTTTCAGACATATCTATTTGGCTCCATCAGCTTGTCAAGGGATTTCAAGACAACCATGGATCCTCGCTCCCACATGCTCATTTACTTGGTCTGTTTCATCGTCTGTGTAAACTACTTTATCATAGGGTGCGACCTGTTTTTGTTTTCGATGGATGTGTACCACAGCTTAAACAGGATACTATAGTAACTGAACCTGAAAATATCTTAGATTATGCATAAATGCAATTTTGTAAATTTAAGGCTAGAAGGCAGCAACAACGCAGCAAACTGAATAGTGAAGCGGATCGAATACAAGCTCTTTTGCTACAATCCCTCGCAAAGGAAAAGGTAGTGCACCAAGCATTAGGTGCAAATGCTGAACTTTTAATTCAGTCACCTAGCAAAAGGGTTAGCGTTGCAAATAAGGTAGAAAAAGATAAAGATGGCATGTTCAAATTACCAAAACAACCAGATGAAGAGGAACCAGTGGTAGACACAAATAATATGAACACTTTATTAGAACCATCTACATCCACGAAAGATTTCTCTTTCGACGAATCGAATCCTTGGAGGGAATACAATGCGAATTTGCAAGCAATTGATGTGCTCAGCGAACATTTTAAAAGTCTGCCGGCAGAAATCCGCCATGAAATATTGTTAGATATTAAAGAAACGCGAAAACAATCATCGTGGGGCCGTCTACATAAGCTACCATCGTGTAGCCATGAATTTAGTTCATTTCAAATGAAACGTTTGCTAAAACGCCGTGCGGTCCAAGAAAGTATTCAGGAAACCGAAAAGGAGATGGGTGAACGCGCATTGACCTTTACAGACTTAAAAAACTTGTTTACTGAAGATGGTATTCTAGAACCTGATAACGTGAATAAAAGTAAATAGCATTCATTACCATCAATATAAAAGTTGGGAGTGTCTACTTACACGAGCCACGGTAACTCTTACGGTAAAAATTACCGTAGATCCACGGTAGAAATTTCCGTAGATCCACGGTAATTTCTGAGAAAGTGTATTTACCGCGAATCCCCTGAAAAAAATTACCGTGGATTCACAGTGATTTTCGAAGCGTGCGAATAACAATTTTTTAACAGTAGATCTATGACAGAAATTAGTGTGGACCCGATTTCTCATAGGTCACGGCAGTGTATTCACCATGCGTAGTATTTGATTTTCTCACAATAGATGTATTTACATGCCTAAGTTACTGGCATTCATTCAAATATCTATTCGTTAATTAGTTGATCTTTTATGTGTGTATGTATTATAACTTCTAGAAAATGCAAGTTTTTCTTGGAACTTAAGTTTTTACCAGGGACGGTAGTCAACATGAGTAAAATAATTGAAATCAGCGTTTAATCATTATTTATTACTATTATTAAGTTTTATTTTTTCGCTCAACGGAAATAACTATTTGGTTTTTAATTTCTTCAATCACATGATTTTTTTAGGATATCTATTTCTTCACACCGAGATAAAAATTATTGAGGGCTATTACAGAATCCAACGTAGTCAGATTTTTCGTAAAATATACGAAAATGCTATCATGAAATTCAAATAGCTACGAAAGTAGCGTATACTTTGAATACACACATTCGTAGCAATTTGGATTTAGTGATCGCATTTTCGTAATTTCACGAAAAATCGGACTACGATGGATTCTGTGACATCCCCCATTATTAAGTTTTATATTTCCATTTAAAAATAATGGTTATTTATACAATTTAAAAGGTCATACAGGCGAAACCAACTGAAATGTTGACAAAATTTCGGACTTATTCCTTTTACTAAGATGTCGCTACCTGTGAAAAGAATACGTTGGAAATAATCCTGGTATAGCTTTTGAGTTTTTTGAATAATCATTTTCCTCAATTAAAAAATTAAACTCAATATTAATTATCTCTGAGCGAAAAAATAAAAATCTTAAAATAATTATTATTTTTGATCGAAAAATAAAAATCTTAAAATAATTATTATTTTTGATCGAAAAATAAAAATCTTAAAATAATTATTATTTTTGATCGAAAAATAAAAATCTTAAAATAATTATTATTTTTGATCGAAAAATAAAAATCTTAAAATAATTATTATTTTTGATCGAAAAATAAAAATCTTAAAATAATTATTATTTTTGATCGAAAAATAAAAATCTTAAAATAATTATTATTTTTGATCGAAAAATAAAAATCTTAAAATAATTATTATTTTTGATCGAAAAATAAAAATCTTAAAATAATTATTATTTTTGATCGAAAAATAAAAATCTTAAAATAATTATTATTTTTGATCGAAAAATAAAAATCTTAAAATAATTATTATTTTTGATCGAAAAATAAAAATCTTAAAATAATTATTATTTTTGATCGAAAAATAAAAATCGAGCAATAATAATTACCTTTGAGCGAAAAAATAACCTTCGAATATTAATTATTATCTTTAACCTTTTTGTTTAAATTCGAAAAAAAGATCATCGAAAATTACAGTAGGAGGTACGAACAGAAATACGTCAGTATAGGTAAAACTGTTTTACGACGATTACAACTTGTTGATTTTTTTGTTAAAATTCAACAAATAATGATTATTTTCCGTCCCTGTTTTTTACTGCCATACTGCCAGAAAAGCTTGCAGCTTCTACTTCCACACCTTTTCACACAAATATTAAGTGGACTGTTGTAGTATATCAAAGGGCTGCACTTGGCAGCATTAATTCCCCGATTCGAATAAAAATTAGAGGAACCCCCAGTTTAGGTTTCATTACTCCAGTGCAATTCAAGAAAAAGAAACTGCCGGTTCCATTTTTCGAAAGGACTCAACTGCAATAAACACAAGAAATGATAAGTTGGTTGATTGACAAAAACTTGGAAGAGTATCTTTTTAAAACTACCGACTTGAACCTGGAAATTTACATTTTAAGAGACTTTTCCAAACGTTAATGTCGAGTTATTATCAAAATACTGCGTGAAGAAGCCTTTTTTGCATTTGAACAGGCAATATCAGAAAAGAAGCAGAACGATATCAAAACTTGTCGTACTTGCGGTCGAGTCATTACTAACGTGTTACTAGAGTGGATGTTATGTAGCTCTTGCTTGTTTTTTGTTCATTCCAAATGGGTTGAAAAAGAAAGTAAGAAAACCACAAAAGTATGGTTTTGCTTAGCATGCATAAAAAAGAAGGGTAAACTTGATTTTGTGCGATTTTATTGTTAAATATTATTGAATAATAAACAGCATGAATGACAAAGCAGTTCAATGACTACGGCTCCAGCTAAAGCACTGATTATTCACAAAATAAATTGATTGTTCATACAGATTAGCAATAAAGTTAAAAAAACAATTACTTCGAAGAAATAAAACAAAAGCAAACTAACCTCATCCAGACATTCCCACGACAGCCGGTTCTACGTACCGGAATGACTCGGGTTTCACCCGACCAAGGGCTGTTGTTTCGGCGATTTAACCCCGTTTAGGTCGGCGAAGTATCTCAGAAGTTGTCCGTCCATAGGGCAACATTCACTACGCATTCTCCTACTCAGGGCTGGCATCGAGTCAAAACCTGGGCCAGAAATATACACCTGCTGTGTATGCCGAAGACGTTTACACCACAACTCCACCTCAGTCAAGTGTAATGCCTGCGAGGGGTGGAGTCACCTCAGGGTCTGCTCGGGACTACGGACACACAGACAGTGGACCACGTCGTACGTGGCCCCCTGTTGCTCAAATAGAGCAGCCTCCACGGCAACCCATAGTCCGCCCGTGCAGCCCCACACACTCACACAGCAACCACACACAGTCGCCACAACACAACAACATACCACAGCCACCACAGACCACATAACACACACAACCGCACCACCACCCACACGCCGCCGCCAACAACTCTTGGTTCCCCCTACAATCTGCACGGTATGTCAGACCAGAATATTCCGTAATGTGACATCAGTCAAGTGCAACACCTGCCTTGGCTGGTGCCACTTTAGGGCATGTTCAGGTCTGCGCACCACGCGAGATTGGACGGGGAACTTCGAGGGCCCGTGTTGCGCTGCTCGGTCGCTGACATCTATTGCGACGCCCCCCACTACCACCACAGGGAGGCAATCACCCCAGCAGCACACACAGCCAACGGCGGCAAGAACATACACCTCACTCACACCCCACATCACAACACGTCTCCCGAACCACATGAAGCTCCTCCAATTCAACTGTAACGGGCTACAGAGCAAGATTGAGGAGATAACCGCCTTTATGTGTCGGCATGGTATATTAATAGCTGCGGTCCAAGAGACGAAGTTGCACAGCAATTCAACTTTGTTGAATTGTGCCGGGTACAACGTGCACCGTCGAGATCGCGAGCGAGATAATGGTGGTGGCTTAGCGTTCATCACGCACCACACCGTGCAGTATCGTCTTATCGAAGCAGACATCGACCGCAGGGATACCACCCTAGAATGTCAGGGCATCGCTATCCGGTCAGGCGATGTCGAGCTCGAAATATTTAATATATACATACCCCCTGTCACCTGCTGCCCGGCAGGATATCACCCTGATATAGGTGCGCTCCTCAGAGGTGAAAACCGTATGGTAGTAGGTGACTTTAATGCGCACCACGATCTTTGGCACTCAAGCCTGTCAAACGATCGTAGGGGAACAGACTTGGCTGAGCAGATAGACGATTCGACATTCTGCACAATGAACGACGACGCACCCACCAGGATTATGGGTAACTGCAGTAGCTCGCCAGACATCACAATAGTCAGCGCTGGTCTGATAAACAGCATAACGTGGCGACCTATGCTGACTCTAGCATCAGACCATCTACCCATAGTCATCTCGATTGATAAACCAACCGACTTTGCCTCCGCCAAACACCGGACCTATATCAACTTTTCTAAAGCTGATTGGAAAGGTTACGCGGAGTTTACTGAAAACACCTTCGCATCGCTCCCCACACCAACCGACGTCCATCTCGGTGAACGTAAGTTCCGCAGGGCTATCACTGCTGCTGCAGCTCGCTTCATACCGGCAGGATGCATATCGGACCCACGTCCAAACTTCCCTGCCGAAGCGGCTGTTCTAGCCGATGAGCGTGATAGCCTTCGTCAGGCCGATCCCGGAGATCCCCGTATCAGGGATCTCAACGCGGAGATTCGGCAACTTGTAAACGTACATAAGCGGAAGAAGTGGGAGGAGCATCTGAAGACTTGTAATTTCACCTCTGGTGTGAGCAAGCTTTGGTCAACCGTGAGGTCGTTGTCTAATCCGACGAAGCACGACGACAGAGTCGAAATTTCCTTCGGCGACCATGCTTCGTCGGACCCGGAGCGATGCGCGAGCTATTTTAGCCGGCAGTTCATACTGCATCCTCCGGTGGACAAAGCCAAGCGTCGAGTGACCAGAAGGCTGCACAAACTGCCAACAACTTGTGCCCCCCTTGCTTTCACTTGCGGTGAAGTTCAGGTGGCCATCGGGAAGGCGAAAGCCTCCAAAGCCATGGGTCCCGACGGAATATGCATGCTGATGCTGAAAAATTTGGGTCCTGCGGGGGTAGCGTACCTAACGGAGGTCCTCAATTTGTCAATGGCCACTCTCATCATCCCAGACATCTGGAAGGTGGGGAGAGTGGTCCCACTGCTCAAACCGGGGAAACCTGCCAACAAAGGAGATTCGTATCGTCCGATAACACTCCTTTCCCCGGTAGCGAAGACACTCGAGGCCTTGCTACTCCCGTACTTCACAAACCACCTGACCCCAGCGAAGCATCAGCATGGTTTCCGTAAAGTGCACAGTACAACAACAGCACTTAACGCCATAAACACTCAGATAACTCGTGGCCTTAACCGTAACCGTCCCTGTGAGAGAACGATTCTAGTAGCGTTGGACTTGTCAAAGGCGTTTGACACCGTCTGCCATTCCACGCTACTAGAAGATATAGAGGCCTCCTCTCTCCCACAGAGGCTCAAACGGTGGTCGGCAAATTATCTGAGTGGTCGACATTCGTCGGTAATGTTTAGAGACAAAACGAGTAAGCAGCGAAAAATAAAACAGGGGGTTCCTCAGGGTGGTGTCCTTTCCCCGCTACTGTTTAACTTTTATATTTCAAAGCTCCCTCAACCACCAGAGGGAGTCTCGATTGTCTCCTATGCCGACGATTGCTCGATCATGGCGACTGGGAATGGAATTGATGACCTGTGTTCGAAAGTAAACGGCTATCTCTCCGAACTTTCTCGCTTCTTCACTGCAAAGTGTCTAGCCCTCTCCCCTACGAAATCCTCCGCGACCCTGTTCACAACCTGGACGAAGGAGGTCAGGCTACCGCTGGGGATTCACGTCGATGACACACCAATTCCGACGGTGAATAACCCCAAAATACTCGGAGTAACATTCGACAGCCTGCTCTCCTTCTCTGCGCACTCAACCGCTATTGTCAATAAAGTACAGAGCCGCAACAAGGTCCTCAAGTCGCTAGCCGGCAGTACTTGGGGCAAAGACAAAGAAACGTTGCTGGCAACATACAAGGCAATAGGCCGGCCGGTTTTGAACTACGCAGCGCCAGTGTGGTCGCCTGGGACTAGTAGGACGCAGTGGACGAAGCTACAGACTGTACAAAACACCGCACTGAGGACAGCGACGGGATGCCTCCTGATGACGCCTGAACACCACCTGCACGGCGAGGCGCAAATGCTCCCGGTAAAGGAGCACAATATAATGCTCTGCAAGCAGTTCCTGATCGGGAGCCACAGAAGTGGCCACCCAAGCAGACAGCTGCTTGCAGAGGAGCCCTCGCCTAGGCACGTCAGGAGGCATCTATATGAACTGACGGACGAAGTCCAGAGGTTCATTAAGCAACCTCTGGACCCGACAGCTTACAGACAGGCCCTGAACGGCATTCACAGGGACTCAGTCTCGAGTTATGTAGACTCTAGACCTGTGAATGCCGTTCTAGGCATACCACCCCCGGACATAGACGAGACGGAGCTTCATCTGCCTCGGGAGACACGCACAACACTCGCACAACTTCGCTCCGGCTACTGCAGCAGGTTGAACTCCTACTTGAGTAGGTTGAATGAGGATGTGCCGAATGAATGTCCGGCATGCGGAGAGACCCCACATGACTCGAAACATCTCTTCGCATGCCCGGCAAACCCGACATCCCTAACGACCTTGTCCTTATGGGCAAACCCCGCAGAAGCTGCACGCTTCCTAGGGTTGCCGTTAGTGGAACTTGACGACAACGACTGAGATACCAACCGATCTGGGCGGGGTTGTTGTAGCCGCTACAACAACAACAACAACAACCTCATCCAGATTAGCAATAAAGTTTTTTTAAGAACTAACTTCGAAAAAATAAAATAATTACCAAAGTACAATTGACTTAATTATTTTGGATGTTACTTAATACCGAGTATGCTAGTATTTACTTATTTTCACAGCGATAAATACTTATTCTAAAAGTACTTAGTTTCACCTAACGAAACACCGTGTACAGAAGGACTTTGAGACTTGGCTTCACTAACTACCGCGTACTCAGTTTTTAGAGGCTTTCTTAGTTCACCTCTGTGCGCGACCTCTCATGATATGGATGAAATCTGCTGAAGTCTAGAAAAAAGAAGTCCGATAAGGAGATGTGGTGATCTCCGAAATAGCTGCTATAACTTCTACCGCTTAGACTTTGTTGCTTTTTAAATTTTTCCTAATAAACAATCGCTCAATAAAAAATATTAAAAATAAAAATGTTAATAAGCCACAATAACATTGACGAAAGTTGAAGAGATTGAAGGTTTAGGTGACATGAATATACGTGTAGCATATTTTGCCGATATGACGAAGCGTTGCCTATTTACACGGGACTTAAATTTTAGGAAAACGTCATACATACCTTTCTTTAAAGTGCTGTATCTTGGAAACCTTTTAACGAAACTGAATGAAAAAAAAAAATATTTATTTCTTCCGTCTTATTATGCGCTTTAATTGTACATTTTTTACATTAATGTGCAACGTATAAAAACAAAAAAAAACTAAACATTTTTCTTTTTAATAATTTTTTGATTTTAGCATTTTTAAAAATGTGTATTTTTATATAAAAACATTGTCTATAATGTCAACTTTAAGTACCCAAATGGGCGTAATGGGCTACTTAGGCGTATGGACTCTAGATCGTCTAACGCTCGAGCAATATGATAAATAGACATTGAAATTTTCTGAAATTGTATATTTTTGAAAGAGGAAAGGTGTGTAAAAAACAAAAACAATATGAATAAATCATATCAACTTTACTAAAGGTCTGAAATCATGAAAATCCCTTCAAGGAAATGGCAGAATGGAACTTTGTTGGAAGTTCACATGAGAAATCTGCTTACGACGTGATTGGAGGAAATTTAAAGAGACTAGCAGCTAGAGCAAGTCTTCAACTCCTGATGTTACAACAAATTCGTACACCCGAAGCCTTCTACCAATGGGTGCTGCATGTTTCCAATGGGATGCCTGTAAAAAATAACTGCAACTAACGTTACAGTGGACTTTATTTCGACTATGACTACGTGCCAATTACTTTAATCCTATTATAAGGTAGTTTAAAAGGTTAAATAACATCAAGTTAGGGAACTTCATATCCTTATTTAATCAAATAATTTTTTTTTCTTTTTAGTTCTTATTGTAATAAAAGCGTGTTGTTTTTTTTCTATAATTTTATTACTCATTAGGTTTATTTTTTTACACACCTTTCATTTTTCTTGTTTTAATAAAAGGACTAACCTTGAAGCTATCATTGGAGGTCTAATATTCTTTTGCAATGAGTGTTGTTGATGTTGATGTTGTTGGTATTTCGGTTTCATATTGCTCGAGCGTTAGACGATCTAGAGTCCATACGTCTAAGTAGCCCTTTACGCCCATTTGGGTACTTAAAGTTGACATTATAGACAATGTTTTTATATAAAAATACAAATTTTTAAAAATGCTATAATCAAAAAATAATAAAAAAAAAATGTTTAGTTATTTTTTTTTGTTTTTATACGTTGCACATTAATGTAAAAAATGTACAATTAAAGCCCATAGTAAGGCGGAAGAAATACATTTTTTTTTTATTAAGTTTCGTTAAAAGGTTTCAACGATACAGCACTTTAAAGAAAGGTATGTATGCCGTTTTCCGAAAATTTGAGTCCCGTGTAAATAGGCAACCCTACGTCATATCGGCAAAATATGCTACACGTAAATTCATGTCACTTAGACCTTCAATCTCCTCAACTTTCATCCAAATCCTGAGAGGTCGCGCACAGTGGTGGCCGCGGGGACATGAAATGCCTCGATATATATATACATGTCGAATAGATAACCTCTTATTTTTTTTGAAGTCGTTTAAAAAAAAAATATCTTTTACCGTACATCTACATTAAATAGGTGGTTCTTCGCGCACTTCGGAAATCAAAGATCTTCTTCGGCAAACAAACATCTTCAGAAATTTCCGTGGATCCACAGTAAATTTTTACCGTAGATCTACGGCAATTTTTACCGTGGATACACGGCAATTTTATCGTGGATCTACGGTAAAGTTACCGTGGCACGTGTGTGTAGACACTGCCAAAAAAGTTACTATAATATTTAAATGTTTTACAGTCACGAAACCAGTATGCTCAGATGAGGCAATTCGGTTTACATTGGTTCGAGATTTACAAAAAAACTTAGATAAAAATAAAGATGTAGCAGACGTTCCTAAGCAAGACAGTGAAACAAGAACAAACTTGAAAATAAACAAAAATGAAAAGGTAAACATGGAACAGGTGGGACTACCCAGGGAACAGTATGATACAGATTTGAAGAGAGCAATTGCAATCTCATTGGAAGACGTTGCATTGTCTGTCTACAGTACGGAAGATTGCGAGTACGAACCAAATCAGAATCTTAGACTAAATAGAAAGCAAAGAAACCAATTAAAAAATTCCGCCATTGGACCTGCTCGTGCTTTTATGCTTGAATACGGAGGAATGAACCGCGAAGAAGTAGAAGGAGTACTGAAGAAAACCCATGAGGATTATGGTGTTGGCAAGGCCATATCAGCTTTTTTGGAAGATAAGTAAGTAAACTGTTGTGCAGTATAATAGGGACGGTCAAATTGTTTGTTATAGGGTCCTTACACGGTCAAACTGTGTGACCAAATTGCTTGTTTGTAATTTAATGGTTTGATTTAAACGCGTCAAAAAACCCATCAAATTCCACCACAAGAAAATCAAAATAAAGGCCTTTCCGAGGCACGTAATAAAAGCGGCATTACTGCCGTACTGATGAAAAATGGCAACATTGTTGCAACTGCCCAACTGATAATACATTGCTAGAAATTCACACAGAACGCGATACTTTAATAATTCGCTCAACACTGCGGTTGTGATTGCAACTCGAACAAGCCCTAAGTGACACGGATGCTTGTATTGCATATTGCTTTTGTGCATTTTGATGCCGTTCCTTATATTTTTGGGGAACAAGTAAAGACCGGTTTGCTAAAAGAAACTGAAAATAGGAATCGATGGAGCTTTTTGTTCTCATAACACTAAGAGGAATATTTCAAGTTTTGAAATGACACAAAAGACGGCGAACCACGTAAGCTTAATTTTGGGTCGTAGATTACGGCCCCATATCCGCTTTTCTAGATCAGGTAATTTTCGCAAGATATTTGCATTTTAAGTTTGCATTGTCAATAAAAATATGCAAACTTTAACAAGGAAAAAATTAAAAAATAAACGATTTTTTTGTAAATTCTTTTGATTGGTGTTAAAGCCTATTCCTTTACAAAAACATCAAGCTCTCAACGAAGAAAATTAAATGATAAATAAAGCTATAAATGGTTAAATTAAAATGCGTAATAATTTCTTTTTAAACGCTTTTATTTAACTAGCTCATACCGCGGAAATTTCCAATCGATTTGAAACTAATTTGCCGACAAGCTAGAGACTTGAAATTTTCAGCAAATCTAGTTCCGATCACGAGGAAAATTCAATATAAAATATAAATGAATTCCCTGGGTGGTCCAGGGGTCTTAATACAAAGGCGGCAAAAACACAGTAAAAGTTATGGATAACAGAGCGTAATTTGCCAAAGAACGTAAAGACGCTATACGTTCGTTTCCACGACAGTCGGGGTCTACGTAACCGGAACGACCCAGATTTATATCTGGCCAAGGACTGTCACTCCAGCAACACTCCCCAAAAAGTCTTTGGGGAGTTTGTATGCTGTTACAACAACAACAACAACAACAACGCTATACGTTTTTTATATCTGGCGGCGCTAGTATATATATAGTCGCTAGGTATAGTTTCAGGCGCTAGTATGATGGATTATAATTGTGAATTCTTTGGTAAAAGAAACACCGGAACCTAGTTTCAATTGTGTTTAAAATGGCCAAACTGTTAAGTTATAGGTACTTCTGTTAAGGATTGTATTATTTGGTATCCTCACACAGGGAGTTAGTGAAATACAGAGAAACGATAATAACTTGTGTTTAACATGGCCAAACTGTTAAGTTATAGGTACTTCTGTTAAGGATTGTATTATTTGGTATCCTCACACAGGGAGTTAGTGAAATACAGAGAAACGATAATAACTTGTGTTTAACATGGCCAAACTGTTAAGTTATAGGTACTTCTGTTAAGGATTGTATTATTTGGTATCCTCACACAGGGAGTTAGTGAAATACAGAGAAACGATCAAAGGCACGCATAATGCACATTAGGGCGGGTCGAAAATCTAATTTTTCTCAAATCCCTTGGTAATAGTGAAAATATATTGTATCATGAAGTCAACAACAAGCCTGCAAAATATTAGTCTTTTATTTTAATTGTAAGAGCCCGCGCACCGACCGCCAAGTGACACACAGCACACTAGTCGAATAAGACCAATCCTTGTTAAAAATTCTGGGTTCAGCAAAAAGGTTTGGTGCATATTATTAGATAATGAATCCGTTAACGCAAAATATACAAACAAATATCATTTATCGCAGCCTTTTAGCTTATCGTTAATCTCAAAGTTATCTTTTTTCAATAAAATTGTAATTTTTCTCTTGAGAATTGCCCTGCCTATAGTCAAAAGATGTAAAGAACAGTATTAATACTGCTGGCGTGCATTTAGGTCGCTGGTTCCAAATGTTCTAATCTTTGTTAAATATTAGCTATAGTTTACGAATTTTTGCAAATATAGGAACAGTTTCGGTAGCTCTAATAAAAAAGCCATTATTTTCCATCATCGTAGAAAAATTTGGTTTATGCAATTGTGTATGGAAACACTGAACAGGCACAACTTCTAAAAACACTAATTAGTTTACTTATGTTTATGCATACTATGTAAAAATTGCAAATATAGAAAAATTTAAAAAAATGTTGTTCAATTTTTTTTTTTTATTTTAAAATAATTTGTTTATAATCTGAACATTTTCATCATATTATCATAAATCAGTAACAGTAAGTCTCGCATTCAATTTGGTAATTACTACGTACCGATCGAGTAACATTTACCAAAGTTATATCGAAAGACTTAAGTGGATCTCCAGTTTTTTCTAACTAAATTTCTCTTCAATTGTATAAATAACTTTTAAATGAAAGAACCGGATTACAGAAAAGTGTGCCAGGGAGTGACTCTTTTCGTTGAAGCTGAATGCGAAGCAATATCGTCCAATTGGAGAGTGCTCAAAAGGATTTCCCAGGATATGATAAAGACTATTGCATTTACCTACAGTAACTTTTTCACATAATAGAATAACCTTAAATATTTATGGATATCTAAACACTTATTACTGGTCCCCTACTTTCATATAAGGGCAAATTTAGAAACCCCGAAAAATGTGCTTCTTCGGTGACTAATGAAACCATTCCGCACCAATTTTCAAGACAGTATAAATATACTTAAAATGGGCGTTTATCACCCTAATTGTATTATGTTAATGTTTGTAAATACTTATATGCTTGAAACTACTATTAACTTATCACACGATTCCTAATCTTTGACAATACATGTCTGACTTCATTCCCCACGATCTTGAAAACTGACCAAATTGGCGTGACCATACTCATGGCCCTCTTAATATTAAATAAACATCCGAAGACATTAAAACGTTTGAAATAAATCGCGTCTCACTTTTTTGCATTTTTCACTTGGTGGCTGAAGTAATGAAGAATTGAAAATTCATAAGGGAAAATTATAGCTTTGTAAGTTTTATCTTAATATCTTAAAAACTTGTAGAGATGTTGAAAAATGATAAATGAACGTGAGGTACTAAATTTAATAACCCTTAATTTGATATATCGTCCTGTTTATAACAATTGACGCATTCCATAGATATTACAAGCCAAAGTTTCATTTTCAAAATTCATACACTTTGATTGAATTGCCTATAATTAACGTACCGAAGTGGTTGTTGTTGTTATTGTAGCGGCTACAACAACCCCGCCCAGATCGGTTAATATCTCAGTCGTTGTCGTCAAGCTCAACTCACGGAAGCCCCAAGAAGCGTGCAGCCTCAATGTGGTCGGTCTACAGGGACAAAGGCGTTAGCTGCGTCGGGTTTTCCGGGCATGCGAAGAGATGTTGCATGCCGGACTCTCATTTGGCAGTTCGTAAAGATGCCTTCTGACCTACCTTGGCGAGGGCTCGTCTGCAAGCAAGTGTCCGTTCGGGTGTCCACGTCTGTAGCTCCCTACTAGGAATTGCTTGCAGAGCATTGTGTTGTGCTCCTTTATGGGGAGCATTTTCGCCTCGTCGTGCAGGTGATGTTCTGGCGACATCAGAAAACATCCAGTCGCTGTCCGAAGTGCAGTGTTTTGAGTCGTTTGCAGCTTCATCCACTGCGTCCTACTAGGCCCCGGCGACCACACTGGTACTGCGTAATTTAAAACCGACCGGCCTATTGCCTTGTGGCATAACCTTCAGTTCATGCGCACGAATAAATTTAAGATTACAATCCTACCAGCAAGCAAATATATTCGGAATCGGATGGCAACATCATTCGCTTAAAATGTCAGTCACTTTTCGATATAGAGAATCCTTTTTGACTTTTGATTACCTTCCTTCTTCTTTCTGGAATCGTCTTACAAACCACATGTGGATTTAGTAGCTAAGTATTTTTAATAAAGTTTTCTAAGATAGTCAGCAGACCGTTGTTTTCCTTGAACAGCCGCATATTGGTAACCCCAACGTCGAAATGAGTAAAGAGGAAGGAAATATGACGGAAGCCGCACAAGGCCGTCCATTTTCGATCCGCAAAATGTTTCCAGAGGACAATTCCCAGAACTTGCTAAAGTTTCGGTCAAAATTCCTCCGGTTTGGCATGCCAAACCAGAACTTTGGATCACACCGTCGTAGCCGCCATGGAGAGCAATGTTCTAGCTCAAGTTAGCGATATAATACTAAATCCTCCAAACACTGATTTGTACCAGTCTTTAAAAGAGCGTTTAATTACGCAATTCGCAGATTCAGAACAAAGGCGGGTAAAAAAGTTACTACAAGAACTTGAATAAGGCGACATGCGTCCCTCACACCTTCTTCGCGAAATGCGCGATCTAGCCGGCAAAGAAATCAATGACAGTATTCTAAAATCGATTTGGTTAAGCGTCCTACCCTCTAACATACGATCTGTTATCTCTATTAGCACTGAGCCACTCGACAAGGTTGCACTACTGGCGGACAAGGTCAGCGAGGTTAGTGATGCACCACAAGTGACCGCTTTAGAAAAGCTATCTTCAGCTACAAATTCGCAATCAAACATTGAACGCCAGTACGAAAGAACTAGGTGCCTTAAAAGCGGCAAACAATCGTCGTTACCGAAGCCGATCAAAGTATCGGTCATCATCACGTTCATCATTCCGCAAAGCCCCAGATGGTTTGTGTTGGTATCACCATAAATTTGGTACTGATTCCAAAAAGTGTCGCCGCCCTTGCTCTAAAAATTTAAATTTAAATGCCTATCATCAATGGCGGTCGACGATAGGCTCAACAACAAGAACCGCCGCTTAATAATAAAATACAAAAATTCGAAACTCAAGTTTTTAGTGGATACCGGGGCTGAAATTAGTGTAGTTCCTCCTACGAATG